AAAAAAAAAACGAGGAAACAAAGCGGCTTTATGAAAACTCATCATCAGTGATTCTGGGTTTTCGTACCTTCAGCACTCGCCAGTGAGCGGACGGACCACACGGAGCCCCGACGGAAAGAGTAGTTCCTGTGGGAGTTACTGGAGGCGCAGGATGGGCTGACGGACAGACGGCGTGATGCCAGGTTCACCACTTCTTCTGCTGGCGGGATCAACATCCAACACGACCAGCACATAAACAGGGAAAACCACATACAGTCAGGGTACAGAGCTTCCGGTGCTTGTATTGTGTATTTCTGTACGATGTGAGCTTGTGAGTCTGGTAGCTCCACCTTCTTCCTCCTGCTCTGGCGGCGGGCTGCACGTGGGCTCGTAGCACGCCTCCTGAGCCACAGGGATGGCTGTGATGATGCTGGCCTCGCGGCCCAGTCGCCGCTTCTCCTCCTCTTGCTGCAGGTTCTTCAGGATGTGCTCAGCTCGCTGGTGGGAGCGCGACACCGCCCGTGCTGAGAAGGATTTCTGAAAGGGAAGGACGTCGGATCAAGCAGCACAGTGGGTGCAGACATACAGAAGATTGAGGATGAGGGAATGCACGAATTAAAACCAAAGTTTTAAACTTTCAGGAAAGTGTGTGCACAGCTATTCTACGCTTACATCCGAGGAGCATTTTGTAATGTTGAATGACCGGACAACACGTTAATACAGTAACTCTCCTCCAGCACATTGATCTCATGCTCTAATTCCATCCCAAGCATCATGAAGAGACACTGTTGAATAGGAAAGATTTCAATCATGACTAATTGTGAGACGAGTAAATGTGTTCAGACTGGACTTTGGAGAATTTACTGTATCGTTGTGTACAGTAAATGCCTCACAGCATTCCCACGAGTGCTCATACACATACATTTCCAAAAAGATATGAAGAACATACACAGCAAAGTCATTCTCATCCAATGACCATGCATCAACAGCACAACACGCACAAAATGTCTGAATGTCCGATGCATGCTGTTATTGTTTTGTCTGTACCTTTTTGAGTTTGGTGTGAGTCACTGATCAAGATGCAACTATCTGAGATGACCCATGAACCTGCCCCAGTTTCAGACCTACAGCGCCTCCCAATGGGCTAAACAAACTCTTTCCCCTCCTGTCGTTAATGATCTGACGTAACAAGATGCATCAGCACAAACATCCGGACAGAAATACCAACTTACTATGGTATGGACTGACTGAATTAATGTGGAGTACTAAAAACAAAGACAGTCGATAGGTAAATTATAGAACATGTGCTCGCAGGTTGTCATCAAAAAAACATATTTTGATAATCATGCTTTTTAAACCAAAAAGAAGAAAGTAAAAGGAAACACCAAGAAATCTGTTCCACTACTTTAAAATCACCTGAGAAGTTAATTTCATGTGTTTTTCTTAAATTAGCAGATTTCTTGGTGCAGTTGTTCACATTACACTTTGCATAGCAGGAGCAAATGTACTTAAAAAGCAGGTTAAAGTGTTTTGTATGTATTTCTTCTGCTATAGTGAAAGGTAGAGCTGTGACTCAGCTGGATTTAAAGGGTTGGTTCACCCAATTTAACCCCTGTATATGACGTTTTATCAAACGATCAAGTTTTGATTTAATTTGTCCACATTTATCTCAGATGTCTAGGAAGACAACGATCCTTGACTACGGAGACAACAACTGATTTGTTCAGTAAAAAATCATCAAGAAGACGCCGCTCTCTGAACTCTCTTTTTTAGAAATGTATGTTCAGGTTGTGTTGAGTGGACTTTTAAAAAAGGAATTCCATGTTTCTATTTTTCAGGCTTGTGGAGCAATGCAGTCTGAGACTGAGGCTCTGGAAGAGGAGCTCAAACAGAAGGATGAGCTTCTGATGAGGGAGAAGGAGAAAATGACAGCTCGCTCTAAAGCCCACATTGGCATCCTGGCTGAACTGGCTATAAAAAGGAAAAGGGATTTCAGCAGGGTTGAGCTTGTGCTGACAGACATGGAGGAAAGGCAAGCTCACAGCCAAAAGAAAGACTCCATGGACAAGGAGACTCGAACCAGCGAGCTGCCTCAGACCACAGAAGAGAGCAGCAGTGATGAAGAGCTGCTTCAGGACGAGGAAGAGAGCAGCCGAGAGGTGGAAAAGACGAAAAATGTAAAAGTGGAGAAGGAGACAGAGGACAGTAACCACAAACCTTCAAACAAGGAAACTAAGAAAAAGAAGAAGAAGCAGAAGGAGAAGAGTCGGAGAAGAAGGCCTCGTGGTTTCTACTGAAACCTGGTACCTGTCCGGAGGATCTGTGGAGTTCAGTGCATGTCTGAAAGCAGCTTGTGTAAAGAACTTTTGTCTTTCTGAATACAGACAGAGGATTCAAGGCTCTGATCAACTACCACACTGTTTCACTTAATTTGGTGATAAAATGAGTCTCAATGATCTGGATAAAAACCTGGACAAATTCAAAAACCATCATATGAAATGTTTTTGTGGGTGAACAATCCCTTTAATTTTTGCAGGTCACTGCATTAAATTTCTTCTAAATCTGAAGGAACCTGACGACTCAGGTCAAGTAGTTAAATTTAAATTAAATATATGAAAATTAACTACATCTTCAGATCAAGAGTAACAGTAATAATAATAATGAGGTTATTTTAGATGCACTCAGTATGAAAACATGAATATTTTCTACTAGTAAGTTAGTAATTAGTAAATGTACTGTATGCATAACTAGGCAACCAATGTAAACAGGGCTCAGACTTACAGACTGGTCTTCATTGATCGGGTCCTGGACGCTGCCAGTGTTCTGAGGAACCCAGGGGGGGTCAAATATGGGGACGCAGGGCATGCCCAGAATAGGAGAGGGCAGAGTGAAGTTGATGCTGGGCGGAGGAATCTGAAACAAAGACGCATGAAGTCACCGACCTGTGTGAGACGATATGTTCTAAATATTTAGCAGAACTAGATCATTGTTGAGGGGACATTGTTATCGTCATACCTTAAAGATCTGCTGAGCTCCTTCCTCCATGCGAGGCCACACCTGGTAGCGGAAACGCCACAGTGTGTAAAACTTCAGGATGGAGTTGATGCGCTGGCAGGCCTCCTGGTGCTGGAACTCCGCCATCATCATTTCGGTCACTGTGTCGGGGACCTTTACGGCGCACAGAAGGAACATAGCCGCTGGAGGGGATTCGGAGGCGGGCAGAGGAAGAGGGGGGAAAAGGTGAAGTATGGTTGAGGGCAAATGGTAGCACACAGGGAAGGAGAGAAGAAAGGATGTAAAAAAATAGAGAGGGCAAAAAGAAACAGGGAAGGAAGAATACATTAGAATATAAAACAGTCAAGGCATGACACATGAACTAACCCTTGATAATCCCAGCGTTAATAAACTCCGACAGTCACAGCGACCTACAGAGACAACCCACGCATCACTGATGCACAGCCTGATGGCCGACTCACCGGCAGCGGCAGCCATATGTTCGTCCACACTGAGTAACAGCTCCCAGGCGGCGGGCTGGATGTCCCCGTACATGTCGTCCGTCAAGATGGGAGCTGCTTTGATCAGCAGCGAGAGCGGCGCCGGGGACAAGCTCATCACCTGAAACAGAAACAGACATTATGCATCATCCTGCAAAACCAAGAAAACCACTGGATAAGATATAAAGAGTCGGAATATGTGCGTCAGGAGATCGTTCTTCGTTCCCTTCTTTGTTTAAAAATCAGTTCACCTGGTTGCGGATGTACTTGAGCATGCCTGTGTCCTTCTTCCCTTCCGTGTTGGAGTCGTTGGGTCTCCTCTTCATGGACGGCGTCCTCAGACACGACTTGTCCGAACACTGAAGGCACAGAGGCTTTTATGAACCACGGGCGATAAAGTAGCCCATGTTTTTATTGATTTATTCATCTCATCGAGTTTTAAAAACAGGAAAGATAAGACTTGTGAGTCCCACCTCTTTTGTTTTCTTGGCACGTGCCCCGATGTTGCCAGAGGAGGCGCTGTCTTCTCGCAGGCTGTCCACCGTCTCGCCGTACACGAGCTTGATGGCGCGGACCAGACGGGCGCAGGAGCGGCTGTGGTGCTGGTAGCAGTGTGGGTGGCAGAAGTCAATGTGGGTACAGATGAAACTCTGCTGGTTGCACAGCAGGATCATGATCTGAGCCGAGAGAGAGGAGAGGAGGAAGTCAGTATGAAGGGACACACACACACACACACACACACAC